TAAAGGGGCATTAAAGAAAATTCTAGGGAAGATTCTGCGTGCAAATGTTACATGATCATAAAAATATTTTTTAAAGTGACCCTGTGACAACCATCTTTTTGTGGCAAAAAATAACATCTTTTAATAGGAGGCTTTTGGTGTCATTTCCACCCATTATGTTTTGGTTAAACATGTATACAATATTTTGCATGATGTAAAAGACCATGGAATATATGTCTATAAACATATATGGAGTATATGTCTATAAAGTCCCAACTTGGCCATCATCCAGTAATAGTATAAAGTGAGTATTTTAGTCAATCTATGCTTCAGTGTCTTTTCTACTGAATGTATTATTTATGTGGTACACACGAAACTACTTTTAAAAAAATGTTTTGCCAGATAAGACAAACATGGGAATATTCAAGAAGTGTTTAGATCAGTTCATCATTTTTTTTTCAGTTGCAAATAATACATTTCTCTCTGATTTTCCTGTAGTTCTAGATGGATATGTGGCGTATTTGTTCCTAAGGATGTAGCTGAGATTGGGTGCATGTTGAACATGCTATCATGAAGCAATTTTTTTATTACACCCTCTATACCAGCCATTTAAAATGTGAAAGATATGTGTAGAGGTACAAAAACAATGAAGGTCCAGGAAGGACAAAAGGCACACATCAAAAGTAAGGGGTAAACATGATGGAAAGAGTGTGGTTCTCTGGTTTTATAGTTGAACCAATAAATCAGTTTGAATTGCCTAACACTGCAGGCTGAGTCCCTAGCAAAAGCACAGTGATTGAATTTTCTATGGCTCTCAGACACATATAAATAATAACACATTATTATTATGACTCTATATTTCTTTATATAAAACATATCTTCAAAAGTTAGATTTATCTTCCAGATAAAAGCTTAAACTGTTTTAATTATTTGCACTAAAATACTGTTCTTCATTTTCCATGACTTTATGCTAAATGACATTTTCCAAAATGATTACTTTTTTGGAAATGAGTAATTTTTGCATCTTGATTCTAGGAAAATTTGTGTGAACTCATGGTATACTTACTTTATTTCACTGCATTGTAGCAAGTACTGGGTTGTATGGTCTATAGTAGGAAACTATGCTCTATATTCAAACTTACATCAAAATAAATAAACGAATTCAATGAGATGAGGAAGAATATTGTGGGTTTTGTACATCCAAATATGGTAATATTTCAAATAAAGAATAAAAAGTCAAGCAATGAACTGTCATTTATAACTGCTCAGAATCAGAGGCACAATTAGAAAGATAATACATTGCCTGGCTTCTATCCTTTCTATGTCTAGATTGTTAACCTTGCAATTGTTTATTTACTCATTCATTATATTTTTGGTGACCAAGGACTGAATGTAGTAGACTGATGATTAATAGGGGCTGGGGGAGGGGATATGGTTAGTTATTATTTAATCTGTGTAGAATTTCTGTTTTGGAAGATCAAAAAAGTTCTGGAGATGGATGGTGTGATGGTTACATGACAATTTGAGTATACTTAATGCCAATGAACTGTACACTAAAAAAAGGTTAAAATGGTCAATTTTATGTTATATATATTTTATAACAATAAAAGTGACTAAAATGGTGAGTTGAGTGTTGTATGTATTTTATCACGGGAGCTGGAGCCCATTCTACTAAGTGAAGCATCACAAGAATGAAAAAACAAGCACCACGTGTACTCACATCAAATTGGTACTAATTGATCAACACTTATGTGCACATATGGTAGCAACATTCATGGGGTGTTGAGCAGAAGGGAGACAGGAGGAAGGGATGGGTATATTCACACCTAATGGGTGCGGTGTGCACCGTCTGGGGGATAGACACGCTTGTAGTTCTGACTCGGGTAGGGCAAAGGCAATATATGCAACCTAAAAATTTGTACCCCCATAATATTCTGAAATAAAAATATTTCTTATATATATAATAAAATATATATAATATATATATAATATATATAATAAAATCAGGCTATGAATTCAGAGTGAAGAATATTCAAGAAGGAAGGCTAATAGGATACAGTAATAATATAAGAATGTGGATATTGAAGAAATGATATGATTTAGACACATGGAAAAGTAACAATTTCAATATGGCAAATAACGTGCCAAGTGACAGAACACCAGACTCAGAAGATAGGTTTTGGGGTTTGCTCATAGCTCTTCTTATACCTAGTAGATAAATTTATTGACAGTTACATCAAAGATGGGCCTAAATTTCTAGCTTGCAAAATTAGATTGATGATGATAGCGTTCACTTTTACAGGAAACATGATGGTTGATAGTGAGGGTTTAGATTTGAACAAAGTGCATTTGAGATATATCTCCAAGTGGAGATGAAATAGGATACATGGATCTGGTCCTCAGCAGAGAAATATGCACATAATTAACAGTGATGAGCAGATGGTTTCCCTAAGGGAGAAATTAAATGGGATAAGAAATGAGGTCACTGGACTAGGATTTGATGAGATTTGCAAAAAAGATAGTAACTGTGGACATTTGCTCTGATAATTTTGGTATAAAGTTTCTTTGTACAAAGTGAAAGATGCTTAAGGTTAGAACAAGGTACATGTTACAGGGAACCCAAAGTACAGGCAAAGGGATCAGCTTTAAAAGGGATGAGAGATCTTCTCTATGGTAACTGGAGTAAAGGAGGAAGGAACAGCAGAAGTAAACTGGTTTTCTTTTCTTTCATGTTGGACAAGGCTAATGTTTCTATTTCCTTTATGAAGTTGGAGATTCCAGAATGATACTGAAGGAAAAAAGGAATGCTTCACACTAGGGAAATATGTGCATTATTCTTCCTTGATGATCCCAAGAAGATAGTCAGTTCTCTGCTAATTGCCTACTGGGGACACAGGTTTTCTTAGAAGGCTTAGTGTAAACAAATTGTGGCACTTTCATAAGCTTGCCAAATTCACTGCTTCTGTTTCCCCTTTTCTCCAAGTTTTCATTACTGCTAAAATAATTTCCTCAGGGAAAGCTCATGTGAAAAATATGAATCTTGAACAGATTTTGCTTTGAAGCCAGGAGTCATGTGGGTCAACAGTTGATTGGATACAAAATAACAAAGCTCAGAAAATGTTACATCATTTACCTCCTGAAGATGTGAAAAACACTGACACATTTAAATTTACCTGAGGTAAGTAAGAATTCAATCTTGTTTAGTCCAAATTGAATGCACTTGTGTCAGAAAGGGTTTATAAAAGTTATTAAGATAGAAACTTCACTGCTTTCCTCACGGTTGGGTTTGTTCTGCCATTTAAGTAATGATGCGTTTGTATGAGACAGGTAAACAGTCTGGACTTCCGCATTTGTCTGTCAAATATGGGGATGGGATATTATTGTTACTCCTCATAAGTTATTCCTCATAAGTGCAAGTTAATGTCATGCAATTAATTGGTATAATTAATTAACATTTTTGAGATAAACTATAGAAACAACTTAGTTGATAGACAGACATACATGTTATCTGTCTTACACATGCTTAATTCCACAAAACACAACTTTACAACTTAAGTGGAGCACTCAATTAAAGGTAATTTCAGCTTTCTGTAAAAAGCTACTCATGAGAAATACTGCAAAGGAAACTTCCTCAAGTAGCACACCAATAGAAACCTTTGGAATTGGGAGCTCTCTGCCAGCTCAAATGGAGGAATAGTGTAATATTCTTCCTTTTTAGTGTAAGGTCTTCTTTTTCCAAGGCTGCCTTCTAAAGGAGAATAAGGGGAAAATCTTAAAGACAACGTTAAAGTATACTTTAATCAAATGACTGTAGGCTTAAATTGTTGAGTTGGATTTTATTGAGCAGTAATAAAATGCTTTCCAGAGGACTGTTTTGTGAGCTATGTTAACATTGTGGTCTCATTTTTGTGCTTTCTTATATTAAAGTGATTGCATGTTACTGAAACTCGAGGGTCAGCAGGCATCAGAATATGTATGGGTGGAGGATACTTGCTAAAGTATGAGACCAAACACCTTGCTAGTCGGGCGGGCAACTTCCAATCTGGCCTTAAAACTCTTAGACAGATGTTGGGAACTCTATAACCTTTGGTCTTAATATTTTACCAATTGGCCAAGTTGTCCCGGAAGACTAGGTCACCTGGAAAATGGACTAGACCAGAAAGGCATCTGTCTTAAATAAATTTTTCCAGATTGCAAGACAGGATTATCATTTTCCAGCCCGTCCCAAAGCTCTCTGCAGGCAGAGGGGGCAACGAACAAGGGCTGAGCGGCCCGCGGCACAGGTCGCCGCGAGTCAGTGCGGCTAGAGGCCGGCCTCCGGCAGGCGGGCCGGGGAGGCCGGCCTCGCAGGCTGGCTGCGCCGGACGCCGACCGCGCCCGGGGAGCAGTCCCGGCTCGGCCCGGCCTGCCCTTGCTCTTTCACGTCACATTTCTGCGTGAGGCATCCGTATTCTTCGCCGCCTCGGACCCTTTGGATGCAGGTCTTCTTTTTCCAAGGCCGCCTTACAAAGGAGAATAAGGGAAAATCCTAAAGACAACGGCCCCATGTGTGCCCCGGCGTCACGCCTCGCGCCCGGCCCGTCCCGTCTGCTCTCCCCGCCGCGGGGCGCGTGCTCGCGGGCCGCCACCGCGCAGCTCTCCGCGGGACGTGGCTGGGCGGGCCGCGAGGAGCGGAGCCTTCTCCAGTGTGTCTCCTGTCACGGCGGGTGGCGGGTCAAAGGCGTCGCCCGCACCGCCGCGTTGGCGCCCGGCTGCCGTGACTGGCTTCCCCACACCTCCCCGCTCAGCCCCTTCCGCTCGGCTGGCCCGCCCACAGGGTCACTCCTTTTCCTCAGCAGCTTCCATCCAGAAAGCCCTGACACGGACTCAGGCCGCGGGAGACGGCCCTGACGACGGCGGGGCTCTGGTCGCGGGGCGCCGACGGGCACGCGGGGCGCCGACGGGCACGCGGGGCGCGGGAGGCCTGCAGAGCGCGCCCGCAGTCTGAGCGGCGGCTCCTCGGTTAGCAGACACGCGTGAAACACTAGGCCAGTGCTGCCTCGTAGGTTTTGTGATAGAAGCTTAGGATGCGGGATGGACACGACAGCTCGGGGAGCGGGCGCGGCGGGGCTCGCCAGCAAGGACGCTTCGTGCGCCCCTGGCCGCGCCCAGGCTGGGAAGAAAGAAGACGGCTGCCCGCGTCGCGGCCGGAGATCATTCTTGCCACGGGAAGCGAGATAGGAAAGGCCGGCCGAGTTAAAGTGCAGGTAGGAGGCTGCCAACGGGCGGTGCGGCAGGTGGCGAGCTGGTGCGGCGGCCGGGCTGGCTGCCCTGGGCATCGCGGGCGGGGCGGGCGGGCCGCCTGGGTCGCGGGCGGGGGCGGGGCGGCCGGGGCCTGGCATCGCGGCGGGGGCGGGGCGGGGCGGGCCGCCCTGGCATCGCGGCGGGGGGGGGGGCGGGGGGGGGCGGGGCTGGGCCTGCTGGCACCGCGGTGCGCGGGGGGGGTCGGGGGGCGGGGGGGCGGGGGGGCGCGGCGGCGGGCGGCGCCTGGCATCGCGGGCGGGGGCGGGGCGGCGCGTGTGAGAACCGGAGGCAAAGACCGTGCATTTCTCTGTGTCACCTTTCGCCTCCTGATAGCCTATGATCTACATCTTCTTTCATCATTATTTTGTTTCTACTCCGTCAGATAAGATATTCTAAATCAGCCTTATTCAAACTCATTAATAGCTCTCATTTTTAAACTTGTTTTTCCAAAATCTTTGAAGCCTAAACTATGGAGCTCTTCATTTTGCAATCTTTATTCTTTCTCCCTACACACACACACACACACTGCTTATTGCCATTTTAAGAAAACATGAGCAGAATCCCCTTTTTGGCCCAATCTTAAGCTTCTTTCTTATCTGTTATTGATGTGTTTGTTGCGAAGCTCAGCTTGCTTTCTGCCTGCTTCTCTAAACGTCGTTGTGACCAGTCTTGTCTGTTAACTTATATTAATATACATGTCTTTCCGTTTATTTTTCCCTTTGACATGTTTAATGTAGAGATTCTCAATTATAGGGACAAATAAGAATTAAGAAATGTCTAGAAGGGTAGAGAAGGGCACTTGATGTTAGCATGACCTGACATTCCACGGACATGGTACGAACATCCCCTCCACTTCTGCGGGAGGGAGGAAAGGCGCTTTGCTCGGCAGGGAATATAAAAATGCACACTAGACATAATCGACTTATTCAAATCCTGCGTTATTTTACAATCAAGAAGAACAACTTTGGCTGATGCAATTGGGAAATAAATTTTGAATTGGGAGTCTTGATAAGTCAGGCAAAAATTCTTCAGAATGGGAATTGTGCTGTCATTTCACATATTCCTAGTTTCCTCATTCTGAAATTGAGGATTGGAATCATCTGATATTCTCATTTTATGTCTCTGTCCACTACAAAGTCAGTATTAGATTAAGTTCTGTCATTTTCTGATTGATTTTTTTCAATTAATGTCATTTTCAGTAGTTCTCAGTCTATTCATAACACATAAATCCAGTTAATATCATGAAAACTATTTAAATATCCCTACCTAAACCCCCTGGAATCAATATCCTTCCCCACCCATCTTCCTATCCGTACCAGACCAATATTTCCAAAATAGAAATAGAAAATATCACCCTCCTCTGTACTCAGAGCCTTTAATGACATCTTGCTGCCTGCACAACAAAGCTGAGAACTTTATTTCACTCAATGATTTCTGCAGTTTGACTACAAATACTTTTTTTCTAAGCATACTTCCAATGCTCACCTTTTAAAATCTTTCTTATAAAGACTAATGAATCTCTGATATGTCCTGTACTAATGTTCACCAGATGACCTCAAGTTTCCTTCATGTCAGCTTTTTCCATTTCTGTTTATAGTAATAATTTGTTTTGTGTTTTTGTCACTTTGGAAGTTAAGGAGTTTTAACAGGCCTATCTAAGAGTTCTTTCAAACAAATTTGATATTTTTAAGGATACTATAACACGTCTTTAGCTCTTTATTATTAATGTATATTCTTTTTGAGTATTTTTGACTATTAAGGACTTTTGGCTAGTGTATCTAAATAATATCTAAATAAATAAAAATATATTTTTAAAAAGAATTTTTATTTCTTGGCAATTCAACTATTGATTGAACTTGTATGAGATAATTTGAATTTAGATCATATATTTTGTTTCCTCAAACACGTATTTTTCTCTATCTAGTTATTACTAATGCTGCCCTACATGTCAAAAATGGTCTTCTATCCCACTCCATACCAACTTAACCCATTTCAAAAGTTTTAAAGGCTTTTATTTACTTAGTTTCATTCATATAGGATCCCCATCTGATTGTAAGTACAATCAGACCTCAATATTGTATTTTGTATGTCGATTTTTGTTGATAGTTAAAAACTGTGGAGATGCTGCTCGGTTTTTTGATAGTCGCTTATTCTTAGCAGCAGGTCATTGAACATGCGAACATCCACTTGGATGAGCTTTGATCACCAGTCCCCAGACAGTTGCAAAGTGGAAAGCACTCATGATCCTTAAAGAGGAGAATCATTTGAGATGAAGGAACAGATTGATGTCCCAAGTCAGCAACACATTGGGAGGGAAAATGGGTAGTTGGGGCACGTCGGTCTCCATGGTCCTGTCAGCTCTTCCATTCTGTTATTCCAGAGCAAACTCTCTCAAGTATGCCTATTTCATTCATCTCTTGGCAGGTGGAGTTCCCTGGAGTGATGGGATGGGCCAATGAGAGTTCCTTGATGGGTTTCGTTCTTCTAGGCTTCTCAGACCACCCTCACCTGGAGGCTGTGCTTTTTGTATTTGTCCTTTTCTTCTACCTCCTGACCCTTGTGGGAAATGTCACGATCATCATTGTCTCCTATCTGTATCCCCCTCTCCACACTCCTATGTACTTCTTCCTCAGCAACCTCTCTTTACTGGACCTCTGTTTCACGACCAGCCTTGCTCCTCAGACCTTAGTTAATCTGCGGGGACCAGAGAAGACCATCACTTACGGTGGCTGTGTGATGCAACTCTATATTTCTCTGGCACTAGGCTCCACTGAGTGTATCCTCTTGGCTGTGATGGCCTTGGATTGCTACGTTGCTGTCTGTAAACCCCTCCACTATGCAGTCATCATGAGCCCACAGGTATGCCAACAGCTGGCAACTGTCTCCTGGCTCAGTGGTTTGGCCAATTCCTTGATCCATGCAACTTTTACCTTGCAACTGCCTCTCTGTGGCAACCACAGGCTGGATCATTTTATTTGTGAAGTACCGGCTCTCCTCAAGTTGGCTTGTGTGGACACCACTGCCAATGAATTGGTGCTTTTTGTTGTTAGCATCCTGTTCCTTGTAATTCCACCAGCATTCATCCTTATCTCCTACGGCTTTATAACTCGAGCTGTGCTGAGGATCAACTCGGCAGAGGCGAGACACAAAGCCTGCAGCACCTGCTCCTCCCACCTTACAGTGGTGATTATCTTCTATGGCACCATAATCTACATGTACCTGCAGCCCAGTGACAGTTATGCACAGGACCAAGGGAAATTCATCTCCCTCTTCTACACCATGGTGACCCCCACCTTAAATCCTATCATCTATACTTTAAGGAACAAGGATGTGAAAGAGGCATTGAAGAAACTTCTGTCAGGAAAACTGTGTTCCCTACGAACATGAATATGCAAGGAATTGATTATAAGCTATAGTTATTCAGCTTCTAATTAGTCAAAACCAAACACCAACTAAATTACCATTTACTTATTTTATCTTCATAAGGGAGCAGCTTTTGTTCTCTCTTATGTGAAACTAAATAAAATGTGTATATGCTTATTTAAGTTGAGAGGTCAAACCGTGCAAAAGAAGGATGTGCATGGGTATAAATTGCGATATTCACCACAAAATTCATGTTTTACATCTTAAACTTATTCCCAGGCATTCAATGAAATCATTAAATGCTTACCAACTGTTTCTCTAGGTTATGAGGCTTTTTTTCAATTTCAGTGAATATTCAGTTTTCTGGCAAATAAACATGTTATATTTACTTTATAATGTCACTCATTAAAGTTTCATGTTGGAAAGCAATTGCTACATGTGCTTCCTCTACAAAGGCAGAAGAAATATCTTCTTATACTCCAAATTTGTTGATCAGTAGGATATTGTTTTAACTATTCTTTTCCATAAATTGTTTTTCCTTTAAAATACATTTCAAGAATTTATTTAATAAGGAGTTAAAAGAAAGATAATACACTAAACACATTATTTTAAATAATTTAGTGAATATAATTCCTTTTGTTGTCTGAGGGTCACTTTATGCACGTTAGAACCAGGCCTTCTGAAAGAAAAGAAAATCAAATAATTTTTCTAAACTATTTCATACACTAGATCAATAAGAAAAAACTGGATTTCAAAAACACCATTATTTTCTTTTCTAAAAATCAGCTTTTTTGAGGTATAATTGATATATAAGAAAGATACATATTAAATACATACAATTGCATGAGTTATGACATATGCACAGACCCATGAAAAGATCACCACAATCCAGCCAATATACATATGCATCACCTCTGGAAGTTTCCCTGTGTCTCATTTTTGTTGTTGTATTATAAAACCACAATATGAGTCCTACACTTTTAAGAAATTTTTAAGCGTGTGGTATAGTATTGTTAACTATAAGCACTATTCTAGAACTTATTCATCTTTTTTTTCCTTTTATTTCATCATATTATGGGGGTACAAATATTGTTAGGGTTACATATATTGCCCCTGCCACCCCTTCCCCGCCCCCCCATGTGCCAGAGCTTCAAGCGTGTCCAACCCCCAGGTGGTGTACACCGCACCCATTATGTAAGTACTCACCCTTCCCCTCCTTCCCCCTCCTGCCTGCCTACCACCTGATAAAAGTTGTTGTTTTTACTTTTTGGTTACATTGTATATCTTTGCCTCTCCCTAAGAAGGGTTAGAGGTATGCCCTTCCTCCCCACAATGCTGGCCACATCCCTAAGATGTGCCCCCCCCCCCCAATCCCTGGTGAGCACCACCACCATTTGAGCACCATAGTTTTAATCAGTCAGTACCAATTTGATGTCGAGTACACGTGGAGCCCATTTTCCATATTGTGTTGCCTTTTGTAACTGAAACTTTGCACCCATTGAGCAAGCTCTTCCTGTATCTCCTTCCTTCATCCCTTAGTAAACATTTTATTCTCCACTTCTGTACCTGTGACTATTTTAGATGCCTCATGTAAATGAAAAAAATGCGCTGTTTGCCTTTCTGTGATGAGCCGATTTTATTTAGCATAATGTCCCCCAGGTTCAGTCATGTCATTGCACATGGCAGGGTTTATTTTTTTAAAGCTGAATGATATTCCATTATATGAATATACCAAATTTTACTTTCCTTCCTTCCTTCCTTTTTCCTTCCTTCTTTCCTCCCTTCCTTCCTTCCTCTCTTTCTCTCCACTTTATATTTTTTTTTTTTTTGAGACAGAGTCTCACTTTGTTGCCCAGGCTAGAGTGAGTGCCGTGGCGTCAGCCTAGCTCACAGCAACCTCAAACTCCTGGGCTCGAGTGATCCTTCTGCCTCAGCCTCCCGGGTAGCTGGGACTACAGGCATGCGCCACCATGCCCGGCTAATTTTTTATATATATATCAGTTGGCCAATTAATTTCTTTCTATTTATAGTAGAGACGGGGTCTCGCTCTTGCTCAGGCTGGTTTTGAACTCCTGACCTTGAGCAATCCGCCCGCCTCGGCCTCCCAAGAGCTAGGATTACAGGCGTGAGCCACAGCGCCCGGCCAACACTTTATATTTTAAATGGACAAATATTGGACATATTTATGATATACAATATGATATTTTGATGATGGGAAAAAGATAAATTAAGCTAGTTAACATATCCATTACCTCACATATGTATTGTTTTTTGGGAAGAACATTTAAAATCTACTCTCTTAGCAATTTTCAAGTATACAATAAATTGCTATTACCTGTAGTCACCATGTTGTATAACATGGATCTTCTGAACTTATCCCTTCTATCTAACTGAAATTTTGTATCCTTTGACTAACATCTACCTAAATACCATACTCCTCTCTGCATCTATGAATTCAACTTTTAAAGATTTCCATATATAAGTAAGATCATGTAGTATTTATCTTTTTGTGCTTGGCTAACTTCACTTAGAATGGAACCTCTAGTTTAATTCACGTTGTCAAAAATGACAAGATTTGTTTCTTTTTTAAAGACTGAATTGTATTCTATTGTGTACACATAGTACATTTTCTTTATTCATTCATTGGGTGATAGACAGTTAATTGATTTTATAACTTGGATATTTTGAATAATGCTGCAGTGGACACGGTAAAGAAGTCATCTCATGGAGATCTTTATCTCAAATATTTTCAATATATACCCAGAAGTAGGATTGCTAGATCATATTGTAGTTCAATTTTAATTTTCTAAGAAACCTCTATGCTGTTTTTCATTGTGGGTGCATGTTTTATATTCCTACCAACAGTTCACAGGTGTTCCAATATCTCTATAACCTTGCCAGTGCTTTTGATCTTTTATTTTTATCTTTCTTCTGGTTGATCATGTTTGCTGTTGAAGCTCTATATTAAATTTTTACACTTAAAAATTGTATTGTTTGGCTACAGATTTTCTGTTTGAAACTTTTGATATTTTGATATTTTCCTTTTGTTCATCATTTCCTGATTTTCTTCAGTTATCTATTTGTGTTCTCTTGAAGCTCACTGAGATTCTTTAAGATAATTACTTTGAATGAAATGTAGGGGTATTAGAGGATGGCATATGAGAAAAACCTCCCACCAGAGTGTCTCTGCAAGAAAGATTTTAGAAGAAAGTGAAAAAAAATAGACAAACATAGATGGATGAGGGTGGAAAGGAAGGGTGCCTGAAACTATAGCAGACTCCATGGGAAGAAGTTGCAGATGAGAACTGGAAGGAGAAAGGCCCCCAAGAGGCTTGAGGACGAGCGACAAGGGTAGGAGGAGCAGTTAACTTCCCCCTCCCTTGCATCTTGGACTGCTGGTGGGCCCCTGAGTGGTTGGAGAGACTGGTCAATACCAGCCCAGAGACGGCTCCCACCAGGGAGTGGTGAGCCTCTTGCGGACAGGGTGCAAGGCTCTCAGCTCCCTCGGGCACCTCCCTGTGCACAGATCCGAGCCAATGGGCAGGTGCCATATTGCTTCATTCTTCCCTCCCCTTCCCTATCCACAGATTCTAAGAGAGACAATTTAGCCACCACCCAGAGGCATCTGTAGGGAATGGGACCTTTCCTTTTGGGGCCCTACAGTGGATGAGGGGTACTCAGACTGTGAGCTCCCTACCTGCCAGCCCTCTCAGGTGCCACTTGCCTGGTGACTCCAGGAGAATGGGGTAAATGCCAAGGAGGAGAGACATTGATCCAGCTTGGGAACCCCATGGGTACCTTGAGGCCAGCACTCCTCTCCTGGGCAGGGTCAGGGATTGATCTCCATGGCCCAGGGGACAGGCCTGCAGACCAGATCACGTACACCCAGGTCTCAATCACATTGTCCAGGGGCACAGAAGGGATATTTGTGAACGAGCCTACTGAAGTGTGTGGGCCTTCAGGGGTAGATCAGTATGCTTGAGGGGCAACCCTCCTGTCTCAGGAAGGCTGTGCGGACAGCTCAGGCTGTGATCCTGGGCAGGGACCTCCCAGGCTGCATCACAGATAGGGGAGACACACTGGTGTGAGGTCCTGCCTACTGGCAGAGGCCCAGGAGAAACCACAGAATAGGGGAGGATGGAAAGGAGCAAGGCCTGTTCCAGACTGTACGTTTCGGACAACTCCATCCCCATGTGCAGACTTTTCAGCTGACTGAGGCCATTTCACCCCTCCCTGAAAGCTTTTCCCAGAAGCAGAGAACAGAACTTTGACCCCTGCTAACAGCATTTGTGATGCTTGAGGGCAGGTTCACCCAACCCAGCCCCACTCAGCCTCAATCCCCGACCTGCCCCCACTAAGGTGGAGAATAAGGGCACATCTGGAGGTCCCCTGGTCCGACCCATCACGTGAGGCACTAGAGAGCCTCTCCAGAGGCACAAGAGCTGGTACAGGACCCCAAAACAACACTGAAGTCTGCTTCTCCCAGCAATCACCACCTACTGATGAGGTCATTCTGCACATATTTTTAGTGTATCTACTGACTCATCATAAAGGGTATGGTCAAATCCCATCCACAAACACCACCTACTGGCTCAGAGATTAAACAGGTCATGTAAGAAACGACAGCTGATCCAGATGAGAAGGAATCAGTGAAAGAGCTCTAAAGTATAAATAATCAAATGGAAAGCACACCCCCAAAGGCGAACACCAGCTCTCTAGCAATGGACATCAACCAAAGTCAGAACACTAAAATGACAGGAGAATTTAGAACACAGATTGTAAGAAAACTCAATGTCATGCAAGAAAAAATGGATAACAAATACAAACCACAAAAAATATCCAGGACTTGGAAAAATTATTCACAAAAGAAATTGAAATCTGAAAGAAAAATCAAACCAAACTCCTAGAAATGAAGAATGTATCCAAGGAATTATAAAACACAGTGGAAAGTCTCAAGAACAGTGTAGATCAAACTCAGGGATTGAAGATAAATAAAATCTCAGGGATTGAAGATAAATAAGTCAGTCACAGAGACAGGGCAGAGAAATAAGAGAAAGGAGCAAAGCCTACAAGAAATGTGGGATTATGTGAAGACTCCTAACATGAAAATCATAGGCATCCCAGAGGGTGAAGAAGAAAATGCACAAATGTTGGATAAGCTGTTTCAGGATATAATAGAGAAAAATTTCCCAGGCCTTGCTAAAAATATAGATATCCAGGTACAAGAAGCTCAAAGGACTCCTGGGAGATTCAATGCAAACAAAAAGAAACCACCACATACAGTCATCACACTGACCAAAATAACCAAAGATGCGATCCTATGAGCTGTAATGCAAAAGAAACAGGTAACCTATAAAGGAAAACGCATCAGAATAATGGCAGACTTATCAAATGAGATCTTACAAGCAAGAAGCGATGGGGGCCCCATTTTCCCTCTTCTAAAACA